TGGCTATTTTAAGTAACACCACTGATCAACTCTTGGGTAGCATGGTCTCATTTGGTTACCCTCATTAGGCTAACAGGATTCAAAACAACATCATGGCCCACATACAAGAAACAGTAAGTAAGTATATAATGAAAGGCGACTGGCCACTTACCTGCATCCCTGTGCTCCAGATGTAGTAGAATGATTTGTAGGAAGGAGTGGGCATATGCATGAATTGACACTGATTCTTCCTGTAGAATGGTCAAAAATGATGCCGCAGCCGTTAACTGCATTTCCACCCCAGCAACGTGCAGGACTTCCTATATAAACAGAAAGAGTTTGCTATTTACATAGATGAGAGATCAGAAATTATCATTTTAAAATCCAAGGTTACATAAACCAAAATCATTAATATAAAACCTTTTAAGATAGGTACTTCCTCCTATTACTTTAGTTAAGAAAACTATATTAATCTACTCCTCACAAGATCACACAAAATTTAAATGTCTTAGGAATTTATAAGACAGCATTCCATGTACTTTACTGAATGAAAAATATAAACAGTACATAAACATTTAAATAATAGGGTAAATGTTTTTGATATATCTCTATTTCTATTTTGCTGTCTGTATTATAGTTTGTCATCCTACCCAGTACAGTAATGTCAAAGCTCCAACAACCACATGTGATTTCATTATTTTCTGCTTCAAAAAACTAATACTATCAATTCTACTATAAAAAAGCTATACACTTAAAAGATTGTGCAAATGAGTTTATTTTCCCCCTTTAAACAACTAACAAGAATATAAATTACCATGATATAAACTGTTTTTAAAATAAAGAACTTTTTAAATATCAGAATACATTTTTTTGAAAATGATGCTCAGTCATCTCCATTCCCTATGCAAACAACTGTAAAATGCATAAGCAACATTAAAATCTACATTAGAAAATTGGTTTTCTACACACCAAAGAGACCAAAAAAAAAAAAAAAACTATATTAAAAGGCCTCAAAGAAATTACCTATATTTCTCTAGAAGTGTGTGTGTGCATGTGAGTGTGTGTAGTATAAAGGTAGCTTAAAGTATTACTTTGTTTAATCAATCATGGCAATTATGAGAATTTCCCCTGTATGTCTATTTTATAAGTAATATAGTACCATTCGTTATAACAGATGACTTGTCATGAAACAAGTTTTGTATCTGTGATTTTAGGAAA